CCCCTCCCCTCCCCTCCCCCTCCCCCTTGCAAACTCCTCAGTTGGGTATTAACACACCTCATCCCTGCCGCCTCCTCCAACACTGCATGCCCTACTTTCCTTCTTCCATTTTTTTCTTCCCTTTAAACTCCCTGGAGGAAAAAATATCAGCACCAGTCAAAGGAGCCCAGAATCCTGGGAGAATTACTGGGCAGATGAGACGGCAATGCCTCTCGCCCAGGCGGGGCTAGGACATGTCAGAAGTAGAACACCCTTAGGTGCTCCTATTCTCCGGCCACGGCCTGGATCAGGCTGTTTCCCCTGGGTGGGAAGCCTTCCTGCCTGACTCTGTTTCCTGGTGTCATAGCAGGTGTCCAACCGCTGTGTCAGTGAACAGACAGGCAGGTCCCTAATCCAGAGGGAAAGATGGTGTGTGGAAAACCCAGTTGCAATGGGGTTGCCATGCATTTCTAGGCTGGTCTCTACTGTCAAAATGGTTTAGCCTCATACGGTGGTTCTCAGCTTTTGTTACACATTAAAATCACCTGAAGACCTTCTAAGACGTGCTGATGCCAGAGCCCCAGCCCAAAGATTCGGACTCAGCTGCTCTCTGGGATGGGGCCCTAGTGGTTTATCTGAAACGTCCCTGTTCAGCTCTGTAGCCCAGGCTGAGACCCACTGGCCCTGCCACACCAGGACCCAGTGCCATTTTAATCCGGGGTGATTGTGGTCCTGAGCATAGGCTTCGGGAGCAGGTAAACTTGAATTAGAAGCCTGGCTCTGTTACCAACTAGCTGTAGAGCTAGTTGCTTACCATTCTCTAAGCCTTAGCTTCCTCGTCCATAAAGTGTGGAAAATGATCCTACCTACCTCAACCGGAGGAGTTCCTGTCACACGGTAGGTGTTCAGGACTGCTCCGATTCTCTTAATCTAACTCCTAATTACAAATAACCGTTCATCATGTATCCATGGAGGGGCACTCTGTGTGTGTGTGTGTGTGTGTGTGTGCGCGCTGTGACTAGTTTTCCCACTCTGTCAGCTTCCCTCGTCTTGCAAAGCCCTACTTAATGGCAGAGGGCCCAAGGCTGGGGTTTCAGACCTGCTGTCACACCACTCAGAGCAGGACACGTGGGGTCTGAGCTTCCCGAGAACCACAGATACGAGTGCCACAACCAGGAACTAGGCAGCCTACCACATGCTACTGGTTATATCTTGTCTACCAACCCAGTGCAGACTGGGATGGAGTGGTGGGGAAGAGTGGTAGGAAGGAGTTAGTTAAGGGAGGGACCCTGCCCTCAAAGTGCCTTCCCTAATATTCACTAACCTTGGGCCTTTGATCTGAATGATAAAGGCCGACCCCCAAACAGCTCTGGAGCGTAGACACTAGAAGAGCAGGAGAAAAAGAGCACAGGCCAAACCCAAGTATCACTGGCCCTGATTTACCTGCTCCTTGGGAGGATGTATACCCAGCGTGGCTCAAAATTAATCTCTATTGAATGAGGGGACCTGGCAAAGTGCCCAGCCCCAGCCTTTGACCTCCGCTCCCCCTCCAGCCCCACCCTAAGTGTGAGGTCTTCACACCTGTGGCTCCCAGCAAGGATAAGTCACACTTCACTGAAACAAAGCTGTTGAGGAGCTGGGCAGGTTGGAAGTCCAGGCAGCCCCCTGAAAGGTCTCCTTTCCTTCCACATGTGACTGCCCCGCCCCGGCCCTCCTCATGTACCAGTCCCTTCCTGCACAGCCCTATCCCATGTTGTGTTCTCTCCAGCCCCGTGAACAGCTGGGTGCCTTTGCCTGGCACAGAGTCATCCTTTCCCCTGCCCCAAGGAAGCAGGCCCAGGACCTGAGGCCAGCCCCTTGTCGTCCCAACAAAGCCTGCACGGAGCCTGAGAGGGAGAAAGAAGGGCGTAGTGCTTGCAACTGGGGGAAGCCCTCTGTCTTGCTGCCCCAAACAGGCCGGAGGGAGCTGTCTCCCCTACCCGCCTCCCCTTTCCACCTGCAGAAGCTCCTCAATCTGCCCCGGGACCAAGCCCAATGCCCCCATCCACTGTCCTCACAGCCAGCTCCCTCCCCTCACTGCACAACTCTCCCACACCTACACCCCGACACACAGACAACAGCCGGGGGCTTTCCCCGTCTCTCCAAGCACTTGCTATCTCAAACCAGACCTCAGGGCCCCACGTAGGGTATGGGGAAAGACACCCTACAGGAAGGGAAGGGAGGACAGGGCTTCCAGATGCCCCCACCCCTGCTCCTGCCAACTGGCAAGCTCGGTGGATTGGTTGAACATACCTCTGAGATTCTCCTAAGGACATTCTGTGCCCTCCCCTACTGCGTACAGATGGGCTAGTCCATCCCACTGGTTTTAAAGACAGGAAGAGAGGGGAAGAGACAGGCCCAGGAGCCAGGTCAAACTGGGGGCAAAGCGAGCATGAAAGCTTGGGGCTCCCTGTCCAGTGCTCTGTCACGTGCACCCTCACCAGATCTGTTTCAAACAGCCAAAAAATACCTGCTAACTCTACCGCCTGCAGAGCACCGGCTAAGCACTGTACCGAGAAAGGCAGGGGAGCACCCAGGACCCAAGGAGCAACCTGTCTGCTGAGGATAACCCTGGTGGGGAACGTCCAGGGTGGGGGGTCTGTGATCAGATAGTTGACAGAATGACTATCCTGAGTGTCCAGGTGAGAGGGGACTTAGGGGACACAGTATGTGGCAATGGCGGCAAGAATAATTACAACAAACATGTGCAAGCCACGTGCACAGCACGTACATGTGCCAGGTTTTGTTCTAAGTATATATATATATATAAAAATTATGTTAACTCCTTTAAGCCCTATAACCACCTTATGAAGTAGACATTGTTATTCCCATTTTACAGAGGAGAACACTGAGGCACTGAGAAGACTTGCTCAAGTTCACACAGCTAATAAGTGGTAGGGCTGGGATTCAAACCGAGGCATTCTGAGTCCACCTTCTTACCTGCTAACGCTACCTGCCCTCATGGTGTAAAGGTAAGGGTAAGAGCAGCCTCTCTTCTACTCTCCCCATAGAAAAGAAGCAGGAGCACAAGTGCTAGAGTTTGAGCTCTGGTTCCCTTACGTTACAGCTCAGGGACTCCAGAGAAGCTAACTTCCATGAGCACCCTCACCTGAAAATACAAACTCTACTCACTTCACATGGTTTATTGTGAGGACTGAGAGACCACGAATGAAGCCACTTAGCACAGGATGAAAGGTTCAAAGTAAATTAGGGGCAAGGGGGAGAAGAAACTTCCCTTTTCCTGAATTCTTTGAAGATCTCTCATCTTTGCTTTCCCATTTTTCCCTCCACAAAGTTCAGAGTTCAAGGATACTGACAAACTTCTCCACCTCCCAGAAATGGGATCTGCTTATCTGAGGATCCCGCGGGTGGGGGGAAGGGGGGATCAGATCTGGAGAAAGCAGGTCAGGCTGAGGCCCTCCCCTTGATTGAGCAACAGCAGGTGCATGATCTGATGAATCCCAGAACCTGAAGCCCTGAGCCAGGAGGTGGGAAAAGAATGACCAGATCAGCCTAGAAAAGGCGTCACCAAAAAAGAGATGCTTCTCCCCAAATGATTCCCTGACAACATGGACAAAACAAATTTAAAACTTCTTATGCTGGAAACCCCTCTGAGAAGCTGTTAAGGACTGAGGGGGGCTATCCCAACCCTAAAGAGATAGCGGAGTCCCTAACCTGCAAGCCCAGGTCCTGACTCCATTCTGCTCTAGAAAGAGACTGAAGCCTCTTAAGGGAAATGAAGATGAAACAAAAAGAGTCAGTGAAGGACGAGTCACACAACCCTGTGACTACAAAGTGACAACTGACTACTGGCAGCACCAAGGTGACATTTTTAGTCAGTGCCACACTATGAAGTGGGGTGTCATAAAAACACCTGATCACACACAACCTCCACTGGGGGGCAGGGAGGAAAATGTTTAAGGAGGCTGGGTGTGAGGCAGGGCTGAAAGGGGTACTAATAATATCTCATTGGTCCCAGAGTCCTGCCGCCTGCTCCCCCATCTCTAGGAGTCACTCAGACCTGGAAGGGGGTTGCACGGATGGGTGGGCAGGGAGGTTTATAAGCCAGACCCCAAGGAGCGCCCCACCCCGCCACCTCTCGTTGGGATACCGGGTGAGACTGGGCAGTCTATCTAGAAAACATCATTCCACTCCTCTCCCCACCCCTAAATAAGCGCTGAGGAGTCCCTCGCAGAGGCAGACACCCCTCCCAGAAGCAGCTACCGCGGACGGGCCGGGGTGCTTCTGGGCATAAGGTGCAGCTGCCAGGCCACCCCCTCCCCAAGAAAGTGTGGATGCGGGAGGCTCACCTCCACGGCAGGTTGGGAGGGCTCCCCGGGGTGTGGCTGCGTCACTAGAGCGCCCGAGCTGCAGCTCCGGACGCTGGACCTCAGGACCCGCCGCAGCATCCGGGACACTGGTTGGGCCGCCATGAAGCCTGTCCGGCAAGGCGAGACTACACTGGGTAGCCGGCTTTGGGAGCACGCTAGCCCGGGACTCGCTGCCCCGGGTCCTCCCGGCAGGGGCGTGGTGGGGGCGGGGCCATACCAGCCAATCGGTGAGGGCACCGTGCCGCGCGGCCTTCTGGGAGTTGTAGTCCACACCCTCTGCTCCTATCCCAGGAGGCTAAGTGCTCTAGGCCTTGCAAAGCACAAGTTCAAACTCACCCAAAGATCTTCAGTCTTTTCCTACAGGCGGCTCTGGACTTTGTGCCAGTCACACCACGACCTAAGTGCTTTAGGGTCAGGTGAATGAACTTTAAGGAGGTACCAAAAAAGTGGGTTATCAAGATAAATAATTTTTTTTTTTTTTTGGCGGTACGCGGGCCTCTCACTGTTGTGGCCTCTCCCGTTGCGGAGTACAGGCTTCGGACGCTCAGGCTCAGCGGCCCAGCCGCTCCGCGGCATGTGGGATCTTCCCGGACTGGGACACGAACCTGTGTCCCCTGCATTGGCAGGCAGACTCTCAACCACTGCGCCACCAGGGAAGCCCAAGATAAACAATATTTTAATGCAATATTTTAAAAAGTCAGGGACTTCCCTGGTGGCGCAGTGGTTAAAAATCTGCCCGCCAATGCAGGGCATACGGTTCGAGCCCTGGTCTGGGAAGATGCCACATGCCACAGAGCAACAAAACTACTGAGCCTGCGCTCTAGAGCCCAACTCCTGAGCCACAACTCCTGAGCCCCCATGCCACCACTACTGAAGCCCAGGCACCTAGAGCCTGTTCTCTGCAGCAAGAGAAGCCACTGCAATGAGAAGCCCGCACACTGCAACGAAGAGCAGCCCCAGCTCACCGCAACTAGAGAAAGCCCCTGCGCAGCAACAAAGATGCCACACAGCCAAAAAGTAAATAAATAAAAAATTTAAAAATAAAAAAAAAATAAAGTCAGAATCAATGCAAAACAATCCATAATAAACAAAATATCAATATTTTATATAAAAACAATAACTGATCCTGCATGTTTACGACTTACGACTTCCCTAACTCCTTTCACTGTTGTCTAGGCCCTGATTGTAGGATGGTCAGCTCCCTCCTTCAAGATACACTTCTCCAGGGACTTCCTTGGCAGTGCAGGGGTTAACACTCTGCACTTCCACCGCAGGGGCTGTGTGTTCCATTTCTGGTAGGGCAACTGAGATCCCACATGCTTTTTTTTTAACCAAAAAAGTTAAAAAAAAAAAACAAAACGATGCACTTCGCCAACTGTGCCCCCAAAGGAAGCTAACAATCTTGGCCTCTCTGTTTAAAAAAGTATGTAGCAAGAAGTCATAAAATGAGTAGATATCATCTTTGGAATACTTCCTACACACCAAACACCATGCTAATGACATGGAGGAACCTTAAATGTATATCACTTAATACTTACAATAATCCTACAGTTACTAGAATGTCAATTTCGCAACTTAGGAAAGAGAAGCTTAGAGAGGTTGGGTAATTTTCCCGAAGTCACCTGGCTGATAGGTGGCAAAACTGGGGTTTAAACCCAGGACAATATGATTCCTAAAGTCAAGATTCAGTATGTATCAGGAATTGGGAGGGGTGGGGGGTGTCCCTTTCTCTCTCTCAAAAACAAAGAGCTATATAGTCTTTAAGGTTTTTCATGGAACACACACTCAGTAATGAGTCTACGTACTAAGAATCTTATGCTCAAATAGGCCTATCTGTTGTATCCAAAACTGTCACCATGGAATTGCAAGAACCAAACGCTGAATAGCATCATGGGAAACTCACCTTTAGACTGATGCTAAAATCCTAGCTTTTCTGAAAGTCTCATTGCATTTGTACAAGTCAGTTGTAGTCATCCTTTCCACTAGTCTATCAATTCTTCAAGACCAGAATCTACTTCCTTATTTCCTAATATACACTTGGCAGCTAGAATCTTTCAGTCAAAGTTCAGACAATACATGTAGGGGGTGAGAGTGTGTCTGAGTACATTTGAGACAGTAGGACAGGCCTCACAGAAGTCTATTTGCAAAGGGCCTGAGGACCATGGAGGACTGTTCAAGCTCTGTCCATGGCTAAGCTGGATGCCTGTCTTCCCTCCCCCACCCCCATCCAAAAGGATCCAGGACAAAACTTGGAAACAACCAAGATGTCCTTCAGTAGGTAAATGGGTTAATAAACTGTGGTACATCTAGACAATGCAATATTATTTCAGTGCTAAAAAGAAATGAGACATCAAACCATGAAAAGACATGGAGGAACCTTAAATGCATATCGCTAAGTGAAAGACGCCAATCTGAAAAGGCTCCCTACCGTATGATTCCAATTACATGACATTCTGGAAAAGGCAACACCATGGAGACAGGAAAAAAATCAGTGGTTGCCAGGGCTTAGTGGGAAGGGATGAATAGGTGGCGCACAGAGGACTTTTAGGACAGTGAAGCTACTCTTTGTAATATCACAGTGATTGTACAGATCATTATTCATTTGTCCAAACACACAGAAGGTACACCACCAAGAATGAACCCAATTGTAAACTATGAACTTTGGGTAGTTGTGTTGTGTCAATGTAGGTTCATCAGTTGTAACAAATGTACCACCCTGGTGCAGGATGTTGATAGCCAAGAAGGCTGTACATGTGTGGAGGCAGGGAGTATGTGGGAAATCTCTGTAGCTTTTTCTTAATTTTTCTGGAACCTAAAACTTCTTTAAAAAATAAAGCCTTTATTTAAAACAATCCAGGATTGGTTTCCTGGGCATATGCCTATCACTGCCTCTCTCTCATAATAGAAGCCTCAAGTATCCAGCCCTCATTCAGATCCCCTCCTCATTCCATCGGTAGCTGTGGACTCTCTTTGCAAGTTTAGGCATTTTAATTAAGTAATGAAATTTTAAAATTTTTAGAAAATATTGTTTCAACAATTTCTATAATTTCTCCTCTTTTGGACCTTGTTCACGATGTTCTCCATTTGCCTCTCCAGACCCACTCCCTGACCCTCCCCACCCCGCTCTGGGGACTAGGACATTGACGTCTACCAACTGCTTGGATGGCATCATCCAGGCACCCTTGTCTCTGGTTTCCAGATGGATCTGGCTAGTAGGAGGCACAGGCAGGAGATTAGGGAGCAGAAAGAGAAGTCAGAGTATTTATTTCTCCTGCCTGTTTTGCTCTTGTTTGGCACTGACTATGCCTTTCTACAACTATACCTGGCATTGCATGGCCCTTCTACCATGAGTCCAGCTCTCATCAGGTCCAACAACACCATTTCTAGCCATTACCAACCCTTCAGGTTGGGTGGGGTTGCCTTTCCTCTGTTGATGGTCACAGATGCCTCAACAGCAGTGGGCACTCTTAACTCTGCCCACACCTCAAAAAATGGTCCCTTCAAAATCCCCACCTAAGTGTGCTCTCTGTTTCTTGCTGGTTCCATGACTGACAAAGGATTCAAGGAATTCTCCCTCCCGTAGTACCCTAGATTCACCCTTGTTGACAGTGGTAATTACAACAGAGTAATGGCACTGCGCCACCAGGGAAGTCCCTGTGCCTCACCTTATATTTAATAATCCAGCAAAATCCTATTTAATTGACTTTTCACAACCACCATCCTGTGCGGTAGATAAGACAGGCCCGTTTACTTTTGAAAACCCAAGAAGTTATTTGCCCAAGGTTAGGCAGTGATCTTGCCAGTGAGGATAGGGAGCCAGATCTTCCTGCTCCAAGCCAGGCCTCTTCCCAGTCTAGCACGTGTCTTATTCACAGACGCTTGCCCCTCCTTGACTGCTCTAGCAAGGGAACATGTCACATGCAGTGTTGTCAGCCCAGCCAATTTTGGCTGTGTCCCAAATGAGCAAGAAACAGCTTCTGAGGTGTTTCTAGAAATGTCAGCCTTTGATCCCCTTTGTTTCATTTCTCCACCCCAGTAATTACCCCAACTTAATTTACTAAGCAGCAATCGTATAGTCCAGACGGTGGGACTTGATTTTGCTTGCGGAAGAAGCAGGTCTGAGTAAGTGGATCTGATTGTCTTCGGGGAATTAGAGGCTGTTTTCTAATTCCAAGGAGGAACAAAGAGGGAGTTGCTTTCTTTTAAATACATGGACCTTCACATAGTGAACTCCAACTCTGCAGATTTGAGTAGAATAAAGTCACGTGTAATATCATCCCTTGCCTCCTAGGCTGGTGGGAGGGAAATCAGTCAGAGGGGTAGATGTCCAGACCTCTCTTTCATCCTGCCCTCTGCTCCTCTGCCAGTGTTTTCCATGGATAGAAACCAAAGAGAAGCCCGAGGGCAAGGGAGTCCACGGAATCAACCACTTACAGCAGAGAGCGGGGCAAAAAGAGGTGGAAAATGATCCCAAGTAAGGGTGGAGCAAATGGAGAACAAACAACCCAGAATTCTACTAATACAGATATCAAAGGGCATTCCTTTCCTGGAATGGGGCCAGGCAATATCTTTAAAGAAATAGTAACTCACAGGAGGAATTCATACTTATTAATTATCCATTGCTGTGTAACAAGCTACCCCAAGTGTAGTGGCTTGAAACAAACATTTTCTCACACAGTTTCTGAGGCTCAGGACTCCGGCAGTGGCCAGCAGTGTGGTTCTGGCTTCGGTATCCCATGAGATTGCAGCCAAGATACCCACAAGAGCTGCAGTCAAGCTTCAGCTGGGGGTGGAGGGTCCGAGTCCAAGACGGCTCACTCACATGGCTGTTGGCTGGAGGCCTCAGTTCCTCACTGGCTGTTAGCAGGAGGTTTCTGTTCCTGGTCTTGTGGGCCTCTTCAAAGAGCTACTCACAACATGGTAGCTGGATTCTCCCAGAGTGAGAGATTCAAGAGAGAACAAGGGGGAAGCCACTTGCCTTTCACGAACTGCCCCCCAAAGCCTATTACCATCACATTTGCCACATTCCATTTGCTAATGTTCCTAAATTCAGCCCACATTGAAGGGGAGGGGAACTAGGTTCCACCTT